TGGGCGGGGTGCTACTGTGTTTGTTTTATTTCATGAGCAATATTTCAGCAAATTTAAAAGATAAGAGGCTCTTATTTTATATTCTAGCTTGTCAATATTGGTAATTTGAGTTTCTAATTCATTTGAAACTATAGACTTAGTACTTGGACTTCACAAACATCTAATTTGAACCAGTGCTGCATTCAACATACCACATAAAATAAAAAAATCTATGTTTATCTGTGTTTTTTAAATATTTGCTTTTAAATTAAGAAATTTAGTAATATATATAGTACTAAAATTTGAATTATAATCTACAGTTTGATACCAAACTTATTGACATAAATTTATGAAATAGTAGTTCAATAAAATTTTGAATGCAAGTCAATAAACGAGATAACATGGCCTTTCACTCGTGATCTGTCTTGAAAGGGTTAAACAAAATGAGGTTCAAACACATGCCATAGCTATGGGTTTAGATGAAACAAGAGTTTGAATGTCATGTAAACTCAGTTTTCAATGTTTCAAAAAAAAATTTAAAGTTACATAGGAGTGTTTCAATACCAAATCTTCTATTAACTTAATTCTGGAAGAGCCAAAAATATCATTACTGGACAAATTATTCTCTGCACCTTTACATTTCTTAAAGCTAATTTCATCTATTAGCTTCATAGACTTTTCATTTAAAAATAATTAGTATTTGAGAAAAATTAAATGACAAATAGTGTTTACAAACTATAAGCTTCATATTACAGTATCTCATGCCATTTCACAGTCTTATATGCTCAAAATCACAAAGTTTCATAGAAATCTTAAAAACATAAATACATAAAAACAAAGCATTAATTCTGTAGATTTCTTAAAAATACCTTATCAAGTCTATCATCAGAATGGAACAAATCAGCAATGTCCCATGGAGCTTTACCAAGTAAACCATGTTCTTGTAAGTATGCAATTCCACGTCGGGGTTTCCTATTAAAGCTGAATAACAGAAATATAAATATCATGTTTAAACAAAATAATATTTTCAAAATATTTTCTGGCAGAAAAAAGTCAAGTGAAATTGCTATTTTTATTAAATATTGAGTATTTATTTTCAAAACATTATTTATGACTATACTATATACTACTATTATTATTAACATAACAAACAAGAACTAATGTTAGATTTTGAAACTTGCAAAGATTTCAAAATCAAATTTCCTTGGTTTTCAAAAACAACAACCAACACAATCACAAACTAACAATCCATGAGCTTATAAAAAAAAAGGAGCTATTGTTTACTAAACATATTCTGTTTTCTTTCAAGATACTTAAGTATTATTATTGAAATCAAGTCATGGTAAATCAAGGTTTCAAAAAGCCATATTATATACAGAATTCTAAAAATGTAATTAATCAGTATTGGATTCCTCTTCATATTTCCATTACACAATAAAAAATACTGAACTTACAGGTCTATTCCCTGTTCTTTGATCTCTTTCTGTTGTTTCAAAACCTCAAACTGTTCTGGGTTATCAGGAAGAGATGTTAAGGCTACAGAGCTGCCACCATGTGAGCTGTTTGTAGAACTTAGAGAATTTGTGCTACCATAGCTTGTCATAGTTCCTTTGCCTGAATCTAAGTCATCCAAATGAGGTTTTTGTCGTTCCTGACCTACAGGACAATAACTCTAATCTTAAGATATCTGTGCAAATAATATTCTGCAAAAAATAAAAAGTTTAATTTCAAATCAAATACCTAAAATATTTTAAAATTCTCTAGAATGTGATCAAACACACAATTCACAATTCTAAATACTGTTTTTAATTTTAATTAACATAAAAGTACATTCTCTCAATATTAGAAATTTTATAATGCACATCAAGACTGTTTTATGGTTAGAATTAACATACAAGTCTAGTTTTCGTTATTAAATATGAATTTTTTCTATTCTCAGGTGAAACTAATTTCTGCACAAGTATCAGATATGTCCACTTTATAAATGGAGGATCAATCAGAAAAATTATAAAGTAAATCTAAATTTAGCTAAATGAATGAGTTTAATACTAAGAAAATAAACAAACTGGAGAATTGATGTAAAATATGAAACAATCTTTAGTATTTGATCAAAGCACAAAACTTGTGTAAACATTGGATTATCATTTCCTACCAATCTGTGAATCAATCAAAAGTTTTTGTCTCTCAGGAAACGTCCAATGGCTCATGTTAAAAATCAAGTAGAACTTTGTTAATCCAATACTCTTTTACTTTACAGGATATGTCAGATTTACCCATAACAACTATTACTTCCCACACGACTAGTCGTTCTCATACAACATAGTGAAGGCTGTAGCCTCTAAATATTACCTACTGATTCAATGAAGAGCAATGCTGTCACTGGCTTGCTTGCACAATGTTTAACATCAATACAATATCTGCATAGGCAGAACAGGTATTACCAATAAAAGACCAAAGGTAACTAGAATGAAAATATTAAACTCAACTGTTGTTTGATCAACATGTTTATGCAAAATCTGCATAGAATCACTCAATATGAACAATTTTGAAAATTCCTATATTAATATAAGAAAATAGAAAATGCACTGTATGACTGCAATACCACAAATTCACTGAAACTAGTCTGCTGGCTATAGTTAATATTCCTGACTTAATTTCACCATTAATCCTCTCACTGTCTGGACAGGTCAAAGGGAGCATGTCACAACATTTTGGAGTTATTTAGAAAATTTAATTTAAATTTTCTTATCGTTGTTCATTAGGGCTGACAGAGGTTTCAGATCTGCCAGTGCCCATTCGAATGTTCACATGTTTATTTATAGTTTTATACGCATGCGCTATGCATAAAATTTTTGATTAGAAAAAATGGCATCAGATAAGGGCGTGGTTGGAAGTAGCTGTAAAAAAGTTTCGGACGTATGGAGTTTTTATAAGAAACTTCACGACCGTAGGAAAGCCATGTGCACTATTTGTAAAAAAGAATTTACCTATTTAGGCGGGACAACAAACCTACGGAATCACCTTGCGTCGAAGCACTCGACTCTTTACTGTCCGGACATCGAGACAACCACAACGGAGAGCAGGAAGATGCCTACTCTTGATGGATTTGTAAGGCCTGCGAAGTGCAATGATACACGTGCAAAGAATATAACAGATAGAGTGACTCAAATGATCGTTCAAGACCTACGCCCCATTCAAACTGTTGAATGCGATGGTTTTCGTAACTTAATGAAGTACTTGGAGCCGAGATATGTCTTACCAAGCAGAAAACAATTTACCGCTGATATCAACCTTAAAAATGCAACGTGCAAACAACGTCTGAAAGAAAGGCTAAGTGAAGAAGCAGTGTTTATATCGTTAACCACGGATATATGGACGAGCATCGCGACAGAAAGTTACATCACCGTAACAGCGCATTACATTGATAACAGCTGGGTGCTACAGGCCTTTGTACTGGAAACCTTACCTTTCCCAGAATGGTACACGGGGATAAACATTGCAGAAAAGCTGAAGAAAGTGGTGGAAGAATTGGAGATTATGGATACTGTTAGAATGGTTAGCCATGACCAGGGGTCCAACATGAAGGCTGCCATAGAAATTTTGCATGAAGAACTAAATTGGCAAAACTTACATTGTACTGTTCACTGCCTTCAACTCTGTATACTAGCAGGGTTTAAAATCAATTCCATTGACAGGCTGCTGGGAAGAAGATTGTTACACACTTTCACCACAGTGTAGTGGCATCACAAGCTCTAAAACAGAAACAAGTCGACATGAACATGTTTGGTAAAAAATTAATCAACAGTTGTGTCACTCGATGGAACTCAACATATGAAATGTTAGATCGTCTGTTAAAACTCAGGTGGCCTGTAACTGCTGTTCTGTCAGATAGTCAAGTAACAAAACCTAGTAATAGATACTTGGATTTAAAATCTGAACAGTGGAAACTAGCTGAAGAATTAGTGGAGGTTTTGGAAAACTTTAGTACTGCAACGACCTTTCTGAGTTATGAAGAAAATGTGTCAATGTCAGCTGTGTTTCCAATATTACATGGTATTCTTGACCAGCTAGAGCCAGACATGTCGGATTCTGGCATAATCAAGCAATTCAAAGATATTGTGTCATCAGAGATCTCTGAGAGATTTGAACTCAAATCTTTGCATGCTGCACACCCAATGCTGTTGACAGCTATTATTGACCCTCGATTTAAAAATCTTACCTTGGGTAGATACACAGAAACTGAACAAGAAGCCCTAAAGAAAGGCATCATTGAGCTGATGGAGATGTATAAAGAGTATGTATGGTGGAAGTTAAATGCTGGTCGCTTCAAAGTTGTTTCATTTGTGGCTAGACGATTACTGTGCATACCAGCTACAACCACATCTTCAGAAAGAGTTTTCTCTATGGCAGGCTTAACAGTCACTAAATTACGAAGTTCTTTAAAACCAAAAAATGTTGACGCATTAATTTTTTTAACAAAAATTTAAGCAAACTGTCATTACAATAGTATTTATATTATTTATAGTGTGAGAGTGCATGTGTGTTACACTATTCAAACCTACTGTACTAACTATTTTAACTACTGCATTATACTGACTATTATTACTGGGTACTGCTGATGGAAACTTGGGTGGTTTGTGACTGACAATACTATGTAATGTTACTAAATAAAAGCTTCCAGATTCCAGAAAGCCTGTAATCAAACTCTAGGAAATCTTCCTTGCTCAGACTACACAACTGCTGTCCAGTCATATTAAACTTTGACAGGTCAAATGCCTGAAGGTCAAACTCATGTACAATCAAACTGTAACAAATTAAATACATACATTGTTATAATATAACAAGTATACTCAATTGTAAGAAGCTTCAGTAGTTATCTTGCAAGAAGCTTCGAAGCACTACTTATAATATTCGTTTCAGCCCTATTGTTCATCAATAAAATTGTCATAAAAACATAGTTTATAATTTAAATTTTAATATATGATTCAATTTCTTAATTAAAAAAAAACAATTTTTAAAAAAATTCCAATTTTTTTTTTGTGTGTGTCATATGGCATGTCTTCTTGTCTTATTGCTCATTATATATTTCTTAAGCCTACCATACATCTATAGTGGTTAACAAATTAGAAACTCAAACTTTAAATATTAACAACCAAAAACATCAAATAATAACCTTCTCCTTTTTCATTTACAAAATATTAACCCTATCACCACGGGCATCCTTTATTTCATATGACATAAGGTTTTAGTGACTTAATTCAAAATTTAATTAAAGTACTTTTTGTTCACATTATACCAATATATATATATCATAAAAGTATAGCTAATAATCGATATTTTAATAATATATAAGTTTTAAGTTCTTAATTTTATAAATCAATATTTAAAAAAATCCTGAATTTCCCCTAATGTGAAAAATGTGACCTTTTCACTAGATTTTCTCTAGGCATCCCCTCTTCACTATTTTATTCACCACCTCTCCAATACGTATAAAATTTAATGTAAATTACTCACTATAAAATTGTCACTGCTCAGACAAACCATAATTTTCATAGCCTTCAATCTTGTTTGGTTACAGAGCCATCAAACAGAAAATCAGACCACATTCTCTATTTCAGGATTTGTTAACAGTTCTCTCTTACTCTTAATACTATGTTAAGTATAACCAATAGAAAGCCAAGGTTTTCATCTATCAAATGGCATATTACATTATTGTTTTCTGAACAAAGAATTATCATATTCTCTGTTAGTACAAGCTTCATTCCCACAGGGAAGACAACGACTAGCTTGGATGAATTTGTAACAAAGCCAGAAAAATTGTAATAGTTAGAGGAAATTGTCTGCTTTTTGCATGTTATTATTCTATTTTCTTTGGTGTATCATTTAATTAAATAAAAATTATTTTGTACACTACTACCATTAGTATAAGAAAAATATGGTTAAGTGTCAACGACAGTCAACAGCAAAAAAAAAAGACCTAGGTAAGTACTTTAATTCTTGTTTTTCATGTTTATTCTTCATATATATATTATAAAAGTAACTAAAATGTAAAAATAGGGATCTGTTTAGGTTAGATTAGTTAAAAGAAATAATAATAAGAAAAATGTTCCACAAGCGATTTAAAATGGCATGAATAGTAGTAGTTAGACCTGGTTCAAATGACAATAAAACAATAAAATTAAATTATAAATAGATGTATACTGTTATGAGTTTAAAGCTACTTAGAATAAACAAATGTAGTTTCATGTTACAATTTGAAGTCATTCTAAAAAGAAAAAATAGGTAACATTTAGATATATTTTGAGTTTTTTTTCTTTTTTTGGTGGTTATGAGGTTGGTCAAATTGACTGACGTTGCATAGAGTTAAAGCAGAGAAAATAACAGACAAGTTATAAATTTTCACTAAAAACAAATATGTGAAATATATTTAGGAGGTTGTAGAGATTACACAAATGAAATTTGAGATTTTTGAGATGAAAACTAGTCAAAAAATACTCAATATATTCACAAACAAATCTTTTTTTTTGGTTTATAAAAAATGCTTCACTAAAAATATGATTTCTTTGTATGTGAAAGACTTGTAATGTTTACTGAAAGCCTGCCAAATTTTGTGAAGATATATATATACTATATTAAAAGTTAATAATATCAAAACTATAAAGACTTTAAATGAGTACAAAGAGCTCACGTGGTTGGTCATATTGACCGAGCCCATGTTAAGAGAGTTAATATATTTTGCAAACTTATGAGGGTAGCCCTGCCAACTACTCCATTTGATAATTTTTAGTTTTCTAAAATGCATCTTTGAAATCTACAAAAAGTAATTTGCCTATCCCCTCCACTTGAAAGAATAATCAAGGCTTGTGGCAAGTACAATGCACAAGTAAAAGTCAATTTCATAACATTGTAAGTACCAGAAATCTATATTTTTTCTATATATTCTATATTTATTGTTTCAAGTTTTAAAAAATATAACTAAAAATTACGAATTTATGAGTAAATAATAATATTAAATATATATATATATACTTACACATTTTATACACCTATACTGCTAAATTCCTACCATCCAGGAAGGATAACTAACATCCAAATACCTACCAAGTTTATTGGACTGGCCTGGACTTTGTATAGAGCCATATCATAAACATTTTCTCTCACTTTTATTATTTCAGACAATTCTATAAACAAGCTGATAAATCCTCTCACACTGAGTTCTTGGAGCCACGATTATGATAAACTCTGTGGGAAAGTTGTGGTAATTGCATTGCTTGAGCTTAATTGCTATCGACAATGTCACATAAACAGTCTAATGGCAAGAGCAGCGATTCACTGCTATATGATCTGCAAGTTTCTACTTCAACAATTAACAGTAAAATAAACATAGGAAACAGATGTGAAGCAGAAACTCTCTGGGGAAGTACTTTGAAAGTTCATAGTCAATACCGAAGAAGATAGTACTACTCACTTTATTTCACATTTTTCAACCTTTAAAGTTTTATGGTGATTACGAAGTCAGTCAAATCGACCAACCCTGTATAGATGTAGAGTTGAGAAAATAAAGGATAAAATATAAAGTTTTCTTGAAAAACAATAATTTTATACTTACTTAGAAAGTTTTAAAGAGTATGCAAATGAAACTTCACAAATTTCAGATAAAGTATTTTTAATCTTAACATTAAAATCACTTTGCACTTGGAGCAGTCCATATATTCACAGATAAATTTAAGTAAAAATACTTAATTCAAAAATTTAATGTTTACTACAAACTTGAAAAATTTTCATGAAGGTACACAAGACACGTTAAAAGTTATAGTATGGAAACTCTGACGGTCACTTTGGGGTCAAGTGGTCAGTGTAATCCCCAGAGTCAGTAACAAAAGAGTTAAAAAAACAAAAATATGAAAAATTAACCAACATTTTATTTTATTAGCATTAGCATATAAGACTTGGTGCCAGTAACACAAAACATGAAACTCACTTTGTTTTTTGGTTAGGGCTAATTACAAAATTATTTTTTTTTCACAAAACATAGATTCATCATGGCTGGCCTCCTGATTACGATTAACATATGAATATACTACTCTTCTTTCAACTGATACAAACATAATATGCTCACCATGACTGGTATTCTGTTTAGAGTCACCATACAAATTTTGTTTCCACTAACACTAAACAATCTCATAAAAACATTTTGTAATTGGTCAGGGTTAACATTATGGTCTTGTTTTCACTGTGGCAAAACCCGATAAATTCACAAATCCAAACAACTTTTTTTCACTATCAATAAACATGATAAACTAAGACTGATTTTCTGATTAGGGTTGCTGTAAAAAGTATGATAAACTGGTTAGTAGTTAGGGCTTTAGCTTATAAGACGTAACTGCTGTCTGTGCCAAACATTTTGTTTTAATTGAGTATAAAAAATCAAAGGAAGCAAAGTAAAATATGTATAAAAATAAAAAAAGTTACTGAAAAATTCCTTGTTTTTGGTTTTTTAGTAAGGTTAAAAAAATAAATAGAATTAAAATGACCTATAAAAGCTAAAAACACAACGAACTTGAACAGCGTAATTGTTGCCAATGGCACTGTCCATTGTCAAACTTAAACCACAGGGTAAATAAAGTATGTCAAAAATGATGGTATCACTGGAAGTCATAGATACAGCATAAATAAAAGTAAAACATGGACAATTGTGACTTGAATGTCACAAAGGCCATATTACGGCAGAACAATCTCTTATAAAAGAAATTCATTTGCTTGTAAACTGTGGCTAATGTGGAGCCTTGTAAAGACAACTTCTTCCTCCAGTTCCTACATAAACTAAACAGCCAGAAAACAGCAAGGCTTTAACTAGAAAAGCTTGTTCAGATGTTGCTCAACCTAAATTGACTACCAACTGGCATAAAGCCTTGCTTTAATGAAAGACCTGAAGTACACATAAGGAACATGCAAGGCTGCGATATCAGATTGGTTTTGTGGTGATGTCACTGAAAAAATGAAGACATGAATGAAAACAAAAAATAAGTCAGTCTTTTCTTAATGTCCCAAGAAAACTGGGTGACAACTTACAGTGAAGGATTACAGGGCTTTAAAAGAGCTAAGCAAATCAGTACAAGTTGTGAAATTAGTGTACTACTTAGCATTTATATAATCAAGGGCAAATGAAATGGCATATAACTTAACAGTGAACACAGAATCCACAGTGGGTGTGTGTTAGCAACCACAAAGCCACAGCAATTCATAGCACAGTCCACGACATCACCTGATTTTGAAGAATCTGTAAAAATGGTGATATAAGAATGGTTTGAAAGGTGTTTCATAAAAAAAAAACTTTTAGAGCATTGAAAGTCTTTAAATGACTCAGAGAAAGATCTAAAACAAGGATGGTAACAAGCCATGCAAAGAGGAATGTGCTGATCATTGTTCTTCCTACCTTCTAGGCACAGTTGGCTGAAATGGGTCTCAAATTGAATCATATTGCAGAATCCAAACTGTCTATTTGCAAAAGCATAGTCCACCAAGGCATGAAGACACAATGACAAGTGGAATGCCAGGGTAAATATTGGAAGTTTGTAGCATACTGCAGAGAAAGTTGCAAACATCTGAAGTAGAGGTTCATAGGACTCATTGTGCAAACTCTGGATCAAAGAAGTGTGGAAAGCTACCATGCAGAGCTGAAGCACCTGATAATGCACAGGGTCAAACATCTTCAAGGCTGAGTTTGTGATTAAAACCATAAACCAAAGAGCCAGAATCAAGCTTGGATCAAATGAGGGCACACCAGATCTTCAACACAGAACACCTACCCAATTTGCAAGAGATGGAAGAGAGGATGCAAGAGGACATTCAATGTTCTTGTACACTTGACTCTAAACAGCTTAATGTGCAGAATAAAAGTCAGCTAATGGTCAAAGAGAAGTTCCAAGAACATGATAAACTAACCTTTATCAATTTTCTGCTCAAAGTTCATATTTTACTTTTACTTCACAATACATAATCAACTTACCAAGACTGGTTTGCTGGTTAGGATTAACATATAAATCTTTACTCCATTCCACTTTGCACTTCAAAATAGACACAAAGCATTCCAGTCCTTTGATTCTCATACATTTTTCCTGATTGACAGTGGCTCCTAATTCTAATGCTTGCCTGCCCTGAAAGTAAAATGTAATGAATATATTAACTTCTGATCAGAGCAAGATATCTACTTGATCAAAGATTAAAATCAGATTAGAATGCATTGTTTCATTTGCAGATACCCCCATTGTTAGCCATATTTTCAGCCATAAACCCAATAACATCTATTAATTTTGGTCAGTTTAAAAGATTTAAGTTGGTCCTAACTCCATGTAGTAAACTAACAATGCAAGATAATCTCTATTATACAAATAAGCTATCAGTTTTTTTTCTTTTGTTTTTTTCATAAGTGAGATGTACTTAAGTGGTCGGAAAGTACTCCAAAGGATAGATACTTCATATTATCTCAAGATCAAAAACTGAGCATCATCTACAATTACATTAGTTTCATTTATTTTCTTACAGAACTATTTGTGTCTAAATTCCAATTAAAAATATTTAATGTTGTAAAATGTGTGTCACTCTTAATCTTGCCTTAAGAAGAAATATTCTTATTCTATTCACATTGAATTAAAATATTTTTTCAACAAAGAATAATTTATAGGTTAATATTTCATCACTTGTGCTTTCTTTAGGGTAGTTTACATTGCATGAAACATAATACATTGTACAGTATAAATACTATATTCATACAGTACTGTGCAAAAGTGTTAGGACAAGAGAATATTTTGTCATTCTTTCCATTTTATGGGGTTAATTCTTTCATGCCATTAACAGAATGTAAATTTCAACACTATAGTAATGCTTCACAGATCCCTGTTGACTACTGAATGAGCAAGGGTGAGAATACTTATCATTCTTTAGAATTACCAAATACTTG